CACCACTTCCAACTTTTTGGTGGTAAATTGGAGATAAGAGTCTCACAGGAACTTTCCTGCCTGGGCTGACTTTGAACCATGATGCCCAGATCTCAGTTTCCTGAGTAGCTAGGATTACAGGCATGAGTCCCCAGTACCTAGCTAGTGTAACAGCACTTTTGTACTAAATGTCTGAGAGACCTTTGGACTTTAGCCTTTTTATTATTTCTACAAGAATACGGATTGGGAGGCTCCTAGGTGCTGCCTCTCTAGGCAGCTGGAGTTACTGGGAGAACTGTTTCTTTTGCATTGTACGTACATATACATGTATGTGCGTGTGTGTGTGTGTGTGTGTGTGTGTGTGTGCTGCACTGAGCCTGTAAACAATAAGCAATACTTACACCATGGGCTTGTTTTCTGAGGCATGTTACATAGGCTATGAAAGATGATAAGGTTGATCTTTGTGAGACTAGTTAACTTTTAGGAGCACTATGAGGGCCATACCTTATAAGAAGATGAGGTTCCAGGGAGGAATTTATGGAGCTGAGGGGCTAGAGAGAATGAGCAATTTCTAACTAAACATCTTGATACATTTTTCAAACATCTTCAAATTATACTCACCTTGGTCCGGCTGAGAATGGTAAGAAGGCATAAGGATGTCTCTGGTCAGAATTCTCTTTGGTAAATCTCAAGGGGTCAAAGACCTGAAATGAGAAAACAACCATATCTCACCCCCCAAAATGAACTCATTTCTTAATCTACTATTTTGTGTTGATCAATAGAAACATGAACTACATATGTATTTACAAATATTATGATAGCCACATTTCAAAAAGATATTACTTTTAATAATAGTTATATAACAAAAAGCCCTCTATTGTTCCAACATGGAGTCAACATAAATAATTACTAAGAATGTATTTCACAGCCAGGTGCTGGTGGCTCAAACCTGTAATCCTAGCTACTCAGGAGGCTGAGTTCTAAGGATCACAGTTCAAAGCCAGCCTGGGCAGGAGTCTGTGAGACTCTTTTTTTTGGGGGGGGGTGTGTGGTCGTGGGCCTGAACTCTGGGCCTGGGCACTGTCCCTCAGCTCTTCAGCTCAATGCTAGCACTCTACCACTTGAGTCACAGCGCCACTTTCGGCTTTTTTCTTTTTGCTTATGTGGTGCTGGAATCGAACCCAGGGCCTCATGCATACAAGGCAAGTGCTCTACCACTGAGCCACCTTCCCAGCCCCTGTGAGACTCTTATCTCCAATAAACTATTACTCAGAAAAAGCCAGAAGAGGTGTTGTGGCTCAACTGGTAGAGTGCTAATCTTGAGAAAAAAGAAGTTCAGGGACAGTGCATAGGCAGAGTTTAAGCCCCAGGACTAGCAACAACAAAAAAGAAAAAGAATATATTTCACATTTTTTAATACTATGACTTAAAAATCGACACCTATTCTCAACTAGCCAAAATTTAAGCGATCAGGAGCCACATATAGCTGGCAGCTGCTTTGTTGAACAATGTACCACTAGACCTGCAGACTTTATTGGAGTCCCTAGTTGACTTGTGTGCTAGCCAGATTAAAATATGGTGGCAAGAGCGATATTATTTTCATGTTGGAAGTAAGAATGCTCACCCACTTAGAACTAAGTCAAACAAAATGACATACAGTAGTCTAGCTTCCTATTTCATGTCACGATCATAAATTCCAGTGGCTATGTTAAGGAAAGCACTGGTACTTATGTTTTGAGTTGTGAGAACGTTGAATGAAGGAACTCAGGGTGACTACTTAGCTTCTCTTTACATGCCCAGAACTTCTTTCCTCTCTTTCTCAGACTATTCTAGGCTCCCGGAAATCACCCTGTATGGTTTTCCATTGGGTTTGGAAAGGGCATTGGCAAAAGGGAAAGAGAGAGAATTTGGGGTCCTGATTCCTTGGCTTCTCCCTACCAGCTTGCTTTCTGAATCTCAACCACAGATCCTGGCTGATGGTCTTTTCTCTTGAAGCACTCCCTCCAGGTTCTGTTACCCTCTTCTGTGAGTTACAGAAGGCCTAAAAGAAGCAAGCATTTCTGGAAGATATCTATTTGCTTCCCTTCAATCCTGTCCATAAACAATTCCTTTGCAAAGCACTATAATCACTCAATTTAAGTGTGCCATCTTGTTCTATACAGCAAAGGAAAGGCTGAGTTGCCTGAATGACTCCATCAACTGTCCACAGTTATGTGGATATTTGGGTGAGTGGTTGGTACAGTTTGATAGATAAGTAGCTAAAATAGAGACTGGCTATTTAGAGCAGATTGTGGAACATTATGGCAATCTGGAGTACTTTATCTATTCAGGTAAAGTAGAATAGGGAAAGAAGACAGTTCCCATTATAAAGTTTGATACACTTTTGGTTATTATGTTGATTTTGGTTTGCTTTTTGTCATTTGTTTTAACTGTGGAGCTATCAAATCTTGAATTCTATATAGCCTTCCCTATACAGAAGGTCCAAGGAAGAGTCCTACCTTGGGGCTTTTCCAGACAGCAGGATTGTGGTGAAGACCCCAAATACTAAGAACCACGGTCATTCCTGAGGAAGGAGGGAAAGAAAAGAGAATGTGGGAGAAAGAGAAAATAGTGGGCTACTGCTATATAACTCTTCTGGTAAGGCTTTTCTTCTAAAAGGAAAGAGCTAGATCTTATCAGAGCTATGTGGAAAAGCACATGCCACCAGGAAGGATGAAACTTGGGTCTGTAACCTTCATTTTTAATCTGTTTCCAATCTATTCAAGTCAGGGTCCTATTCTCTGGAACATTTGGTGTCTTTTCAACTGCTAGACTGTGTTGATGTCATGGCCACATTGAGAAGTTACTGACATATCTGTTAATAAACTAGAGCACCCAGTAGACAGTATGGTTACCTAATATAGAACAGATCTGCAATTCCATTACAAAGACCCAGTGACTAATTTCTCTTGCTGTTGTTCATTCATGAAAGGTGAAGAATTCTGGGAAATATTTATGTGGGTTGGGATAAGAAAAGAGTTGGGTATAGTGGCTCAAGCTTGTAGTCCAAGCTACTTGGGAGGTAGAGATGAAGAGAATCATGGTTTAAGGTCAGTCTACGCAAAGGTTCATGAGATGTTATCTTAACCAATAAAAAGTTAGGTAGCATGGCAAGTGCTTGTCACCCCAGTTACTCAGGAAATGTGAATAAGAGGATCCTGGTCCATGGCCTGAGTACAAATGTGAAATCCTATTAGAAAAATGAAAGCAAAAATGATCCAAGTAGCAGGGCACCTGCTTGGTAAGTACAAGGTCCTGAGCTCAAACCCCAACACTGCAAAAGAGAAAGAAAGAAAGAAAGACAGACAGAGAGACAGAGAGAGAGGGGGAGGGAGAAGCGTAAGGAGAGAGGGAAGAATGAGGGAGGGAAGGGAAAAAGGAAGGAAAGAAGGAAAAAGAAGGAAAGAAAGAAAGAAGAGGAGAGAGAAAACGAGCATCATTTTGGCACAGAAATAAGTCTGGTACATTAATTCAGGCTCTGTTAACACAGGTACAGTAACAGGTTGTACATGTTTGTCACATGCAGATCTGTTATCTTATTTCTTAAGGCAAATATTACTAGGACACAAAAAAAAGGCAAGGGAAAGGCTGTCTCATGTAACCCTGCCTTCCCCTAGGTACACTGCCCAGAAACCTGTATGTTCATGTCAATTAACCTCATCAGCACAATGGGATTCCTCCCATTTTTTTTTTTTTTTGCCACATTAGAAGATTTGCTTTTTTTGTGTCAGTCCTGGGGCTTACACTCAGGGCCTAGGTGGTGTCCCTGAGCTTTTTTGCTCAGGACTAGTACTCTACTACTTGAGCCACAGCTCCACTTCTGGCTTTTTGGTGCTTTAATTGGAGCTAAGAATCTCATGGACTTTCCGTCCTGGTCTGGCTTTGAAGTATGATCCTCAGATTTCAGCCTCTTGAGTAGGATTATAAACATGAAACCAGCTCACATCAGAAAAATTTTTAAAAAGTGTTTATAAACATGTAAAGCATTATACAGGTATCTATTAGGATTAAGATAATAACACTCATTTCCCATGAGTCTCATACTCAGCCTAACAAAGATGATCATAGAGACCATAGCTCACAATGAGAGAAACGCTGAGTGGGATTCTGTAATTGTGGATTCTGGGCCTAGCTTTACTACAACAGTCTATGTGGCCTGGGAATGACCAAAACTCACATCTGAAAAAGGAATTATCCTCTGAGTTCTTAGTACAAAGGCTGAGAAGCACACTTAGGAGCTAAAACCCACCAGTCATTGTCACTGTGGTCCCAAGATTGGATCTCATGCTCTCTAGGAATTGGTTAGAAAAAAAAATGGAAAAGACCTGCAGGCAAGGAACGTCCATCTGGGAAGATAAGAGGCTTGCTGAGTTCTCTGGAAATGGATGGGACTGGGGGAAGCAATCGAAACATCTCCTTGATGCACATTGTGGTGTACGACAGCTCATCCAGCTTGTCCCTATGAGGACAAGGAAAAGAGGAAGAGAGACAGGGAGAGAGGGAGGGAAGAAAGAAAAAGGGAGGGAAGGAAGGAGAGATTAAGACTCATCCACTTTGTAAATATTGGCATTTGTCTTTTTCCTAGAAAATGTCACCCTCAGGGGACTATTTTGCTATGCATTTATGCAGGACATTATTGTTTATATGAATTATATTAGCTGAGGTCCCAGAGGTGAAGTCACCTGACACTGGCTAAGCTACTGGCAGAAGGGTTTGCCAAGGAGATTTCTTAAAAACAATGCTGCGAACCTTAGCTCATCATATATAGGAAAAATATTTAAGAAATATTAAGGATGGGGCTGGGAATGTAGCTTAGTGGTAGAGTGCTTGCCTTGCATGCATGAGGCCCTGGGTTCAATTCCTCAGCACCACATAAGCAGAAAAAGCTAGAAGTGGTGCTGTGGCTCAAGTAGTAGAACACTAGCCTTGAGCTGAAGAGCTGAGGGACAGTGCTCAGGCCCAGAGTTCAGGCCCCACAACCAACAAAATAAATTAAGGAATGAAGATAGGAGATGAAAGAAGTTTGAGAGAGAGAGAGAGAACCTGTGATTTGAAGAGAATTGTCAATGCTGGAGTGCTGTGGACAGGCAGTAGGGTGTACTCCATGTTTAATGAAAAAAGAAAGGCTTTGTGACAGTCACTAAGGTGATCACACACATTCTCTTGGAGTTTGGGAAGCACAGGACAGACAAAGGCTACAACTCAGAAGGGACAGAGCCAGCTGAGGGAAGATAAGGATATGGGGGGGGATGTCCTATGGACTAGTATACTGGACAGAAGAGGGAGAGCTCTGGAAAAGCTGGATAAAGATTCTGCCCAAAGACCAGAATTCTCATGTCCTGTGAATCACCATGGGGATGTTCTGGTGATGGAGTGATACCCACTAATGAACCCTGTGAGAGAATAGCCCAGAAGCTCTGGGCATGATCAAGAGCCAGCTCCCTTTTCCTCACCTCTTTTCTCCTTGTAATCATTTCTGGAAGGTTCATAACTTCTGAGCAGAGAAGGAGCTGGTTGGTAAGAATAAGTCAATGACAAACCCCTCACTCTGGCAACTTCCAGGCCCAAAGAAATACCCAGCTGGAGTAGAGGAAGACATTTAAACAGACAGCTGCTATTGGAAGGGTTTGTTATTACATTAGGCTTCTGATTTAAGTGGATAGCAAGGAACTTCTACAAGACTCGCTCAAGGTTTTTGCCTCTTAATTGAAAAGAACTTGCCCAAGAGCAAGTTTGAAGTATCAGAAGAATAATGAATTTTTTTTTTCATTTTCACTTATTTATTTTTTACTGGCCCTAGAGCATTTATGCTCAAGGTTAGTCCTCTACCACTTGAGCTACAGCTCTACCTCTGGATTTTTGGTGGTTATTTGGAGATAAGAGTTGATGGACTTTTCTGCTTGGGCTGGCTTTGAAGCAAGATCTTCAGTAGCTAGGATTACAGGTGTTAGCCACTGGTGCCCAGCAGTTGTTTTAATTTGCATTCTAGCCAGTCAGATGCCTTTGATTATCAATGATTGTGTGTATTTGGTCTATTTGCCTAATTGTATTTCTAACATTTTTTGATTATGTATTTTGAATGCAGGCTTTGGCCACTCCTCAAGCAGAGGATAAAAACAGGTAAAGCTGCTTATGAATAATTTGAATAAGCACTTTGAGTAATTAAAGAAAACAATCATATCCAGCTCAATCATTGTGCAAAAAGAAGAAAAGAATTTTGAGCCAACTTAGAAATGGCCTGACAGAGATTCAAAGAGAGAAAGCTGGACAGCTTTCTTAGTAATTGCTCTTTGCAATGTGTTTTTATTACTTGTCTAGAAAAATCATAATTTCTCAGAATACCACATAGAAATTTTACTAACTGTAACAATATGTACATGTTACAGAATGAAAACATATTTTGTTCTGTGGTATGTTTGCCTTTCTTTAAAGTACATGCAATTAACAGATCATCTGGGTATTTACTTTCTCACCTACTGGAGACTTAAGTTACTACTTTTACTTTTTAGCTAAACAAGAATGAGAAAAGCAACCTGGGCACTGGTGCCTCATGCCTGTAATCCTAGCTACTCAGGAGGCTGAGAGATCTGAGGATTATGGTTCAAAGCCAGCCCAGACAGGAAAGTCCATGAGACTCATATCTCCAATTAATCACGAGAAAACCAGAAGTAGAGCTGCTGCTCAAAGTGGTAGAGAAACTAGCCTTGAGCAAAAAAGTTCAGGCCCTGAGTTCAAGACCTATGGCTGACCAGAGAAAGAGAGAGAGGGGGGTGGTGGCAATATTTGACACATGAAGGCATTTACCCTAGTCAATGTTAAAGTATCTAATTTATGTTGGAAGGTGATATTCAGTGTTTCCAAATTCAATGAGTGAATAAAAATGATTGCTTAGCTAGATGGGAGGACAGGGGCTCCCACTTGGTTTTTCTTATAGCAGCAGTAATTTCACAGCCAAGCACAGACAAAAGAACTTTTGTGAGGCACTGCCTGATCTGACAATGTACTAGAAGCCTATGGCAATCAACTCAGCATTGCACTTTGTAAGAACAGACACATCAGCCTCCTCTTTTCCAATGTGCCAGAGCTTGGGTAAAAGGAAGAAATGTGGATTGACTAGAAAAACAATGACAGGAAATTTCTGGATGAGCATACTTCTTTTGCAAAAGACAAGGGGGCAAATATGAGATTCTCTTGAGGAAGAATAGAAAAGTAGCCTGCCTTTTCTGCGTTCCCAAGCACATATCTTGAGGAGCTGCCATCACTAAGGTAACAGGAAAAAAATAGTTCAGGGATGCAGATCTTACCAGGTAATGGAAGACCCATCCCCCAGGATGCTCCTGACTTCCTCCCGGCATTTCTCCTGGTGCTCAGGGTTCAGAGCCAGGCAGTAGAGGAGCCAGGATAGGCTGGATGCTGAAGCCTCGTGCCCGGCCAACATGAATGTGGCCACCTCAGAGCGCAGGTCAGCCTCTGAGAAGCTGTCTTCATTTTCAGCCTACGATGTACAATGGAGACGTTTTAATGAAATGTCAGCATACTGATGTTTGGAGGCACAAGTGAAATAATGGCTGTTGGGAAAATTTTCAGGTTTTAAAGAAACTTGATTTTAATTCAGTGCAGCAAACTGCAATGAGCCATACTGTTGTCTAGAGCTCAAAAAGGGAATCAATGTTAGATAAGAAAAGCAGATTTTTGCAAAGCGGGGCTTTTAATATTCCCATCAAAATATTTAGATGAAAAAATTTTCAGATTTTGTTAAATACATGTTTATTAGCTATAAGAGCATGAAGATTAACAGTTAATAATTACAGTTCCCCATGGAGGTTTAGCCAGTTGTATACAGCACTTGGCTACAAATGCACAGCCTTAGGTTTGATTTCCAGAACTGACAAATAAACCCCACATATGTATGTACCTGCATTTATGTAGGTATATGTAGTTTATACACATATTGTTTATATATAACCATATATTAAATATAGTTATACATGTTTTCATCTACATACAAATACACACATTTACATATATAAATATGAACACTGACATTGTAATTCCTACTACATGTGAATGAGTATGTTTCATTCAAGATCAGCTAGGTTAGAGATTCATTCAGAGATCAATTAGAGCTTTACTCTTTGATAGTGGATTGTCACTTAATGCATGAATAGTCTTCCTTTTTGCTTGATAAAAAAGCCAGCGTTTAATAATAAAGCAATGTAGGAGGGATTTATCATCACTTTAATTAAGAACTGACTGGCATTCTTCCATCCAGCATATCCAGATTAAAAATACCAGCTCCTCATTTTACATGTTTGCATGTATGGCCCATTTCCTGGGATTCTCTGTATTCCATGTGCTATATTATAATTCTCCAATCCTGTCAAATAAGTAATTTAGTCGTCACCGAATCCTTCTAGTGGAAGAATTGCAGAATTCATTCTACCCCAAATTGCATGGAGCCAATCTCTCCACAGTGCTGTTGTGCCAATACTGAGGTTTGAACTGGGGTCTCATGCTCTTGGTTGGCTTTTTTGCCAAAGTCTAACACTCTACAACTTGAGCCACACCTTTACTTTCAAACTACTGTTACATTTAGTTGGCCAGTTTTGCTTTTGTCTTGACACCCCATCTCTACACAACGGACTAGCTGTTTGAGCAGATTTAAATATTTGGAACATTTACCTGTGCAGAAAGAATAATATCCAGAATATCCTGATCCTTCTGAGTGTTATCCTGCTTCATTCCAGTTCTGAGGGAATTTGTTCTTTCCTGAATTATCTTTTCTGAGAAAAATATATCTCAATTACCAAAGTGACGGCAAAGCCAATCCAAGTCAAATAAATTATGAACCAATGCAGAGCCTATGAATAGCTTCAACCTTTGCCTGCTTTCCAGAGGCCAGAGTTAGTCCATTACATTTAAATAGATTAATTTTCACAGATAGTTTATTTAGCTCAAATGTATGACATTTGAGAAAGTTGCAAAGATAAACAGAACTCATAAGGTAAATAGTTTATATTCAACAGGTAAGCAATATGATTTCAGATTATTTTCTTTCTCAGTTTAAAAATCTTCTCTTCATGGAAACCATTAAATAAAAATTCAAAACAAACAATTATTTGAAACTACCTTTTTCTACAGAAAGTAGTCCAAGTTTTCTCTCTTGGGGTGAATTTTTGTCACTCCATTTTCTATTTTGTCTAGCTTTTAAAAATAGGAGTAAAAGAAAAGCAGTGTATTATGGTTTTCAAAAACATTTTCTGTGTATCAAGAACTTTTTTCCTCCTCGCCAAGCCTTATTTTGTAAATTTGTGATTCCCCCCCCTTTTTCCTGTTTAAAACTAGCTAATATTTTCTGTGTGTGTGTGTGTGTGTGTGTGTGTGTGTGTGTGTGTGTGTGTGTGTGTGTGTGTGTGTGTGTGTGTGTGTGCATGGATGCATGTGTTGGACCCTGTCCTGAGCTTTTGTGCTCAAGGTTAGTGCTCAAAGCTGGCTCCACTTCTGGCTTTTTGGTGTTTAATTGGAGGTTGAGTCTCACACACTTTCCTGCCAGGTTGCTGAGCAAAGATCCTTAGATCTCAGCCTCCTGGGTAGCTAGACTTAAAAGCATGAGCCACGGTGCCAAGCTTGTCATTGTACCTTGCTAATTTTTGTATAGTTATTTTCTTTTGTATTATTTTTTATTATATTCTTTTTTAAGATGATTTTTTCCCCGTTAATGGCTTCATTTTAATTTTTAATGCTTTATGGGAGTAAGGTTGGGACAAAACCTGGAATAGCTAACATAACATTAAAGGACCAAGCTAGAGGATTGATACTGTTCAACTCTGAGATTTACTCTAAAATTACAATAATCAAGGCAGTGTGCTATTGGTAAGGGAATTGGTGAACATATAAAAGGGTCTCAATAAAAAACATAGAACTATTCAAATAGAGTCAACTGGTCTGTGATTTAAAAGGACAAAGATACTTTTTCAACAAATGGGGTTACTAATTGGACATGCACAGAAAAAATCCAGACAATCTTCTTTCACCAAAATTAACTTAAAACAGATCACACATTAATTTTTAATACAAACTTATAAACTTCCTAGAATAAAACATCGGAAAAAATCTAGTTTGGCAATGACTTTTTAGACACCATACCAAAAGCATGATTCCTGAGAGAAACGAACTCGTAAGCTGGACTTTATGAAAACTTAAAAGCTTTCATTCCACAAAAGGTTCTGTTAAGAGACGAGAAAGACAAACCACAGACTTGTAAAAGTCTTTGCAAATGGTATATTGGATCAAGGACTGGTATCCAAAATTTCAAAATATCGGGGCTGGGAAGGTGGCTCAGTGGTAGAGCGCTTGCCTTGCACGCATGAGGCCCTGGGTTCGATTCCTCAGTACCACATAAGCAAAAAGAAAAAAGCCAGAAGTGGCGCTGTGGCTCAAATGGTAGAGCGCTAGCCTTGAGCTGAAGAGCTGAGGGACAGTGCCCAGGCCCAGAGTTCAGGCCCCACGACCGGACCTTCCCCCCCCCACGAAATATATATATATATAAAGGATTATTTTGTGTGTATGTGTTGGTCCTGGGGCTTGAATTTAGGGCCTGGGTGTTGTCCCTCAGTTTTTGTGCTCAAAGCTAGCATTCTACCACAGGTCAACTTCAGGTACGCTCTCTCTCTCTCTCTCTCTCTCTCTCTTTTAGGTGATTAATTGGAAGTGAGGATCACAGACTTCCCTGTTTGAGCTGGCTTTGAACATCTTCAGATCTCATCTTCCTGAGTAGCTAGGATTACAGGCATGAACCACTGGCACCCAGTGAAACTTTTTTTTTTAAGACTTACACAATTTGGCCCAAATAAAAAAATGGCATAGGATCTGAACAGACATCCTACCCAAGAAAATATGAAGATGGCAAGCAGATATATGAAAAGATGCTCAAAACCATATGACATCATATGGCTAAAATCCCACATAGCAGTAATGCCAAATGTTGCCAGGGACAGGAACTCATGGCAGGAATGAAAAATGACTTAGGCATTTTGAAAGACAGTGTGGCAATATCTTACAAAGTGAAACAAAATCTTAGCATGTCATCTAATAAGTGTGTCCTTTGCTACTTATCCAAAAGAGCTGAAAACTGATGTTGACACAAATCCTGCACATACGTGTTGTGTTGCTACTAGCTTTGCTAATTACCCAAATAATTATAATTATCTAAACTCAAGATGGTTCCCAGTAGGTTAACGGGTGGTAACTTGTGGTAAATGCAGACAATAAGTTATTATGTAGTTAAAAAAAGAAATCAAGCCATGGAAACCTACGGAAGGAACCTTGAATGCATATTGCCAGATGGAAGAGGCAGTCTGAGAAGACTACACTGTGTATGATTTCAATGACATACATTATGGAAACAGAGAAAACATCAAGATAGAAAACAAAAAAAACAACCAAACCATGTGGTTTCCACAGGTTCACAGGGAGGAAGGTGAAATTAGTAAGTAGAGTATAGGTCAATGAAATTATTTTGTATAAGATCATAATAATGGAGATACAGTCACTATATCTTTCTAAAAGCTCTAGTGTGTACAACACAAAGAGTGAACTCTGAACTATGGCCTGTTGTCCATCGCGATGTACCAATAGTAACAAAATAATTCTAACAATGTGCCACAGTGATGCCACAGAAAAACTGTAATGGGTGGGCTGAGGAGGCCCACAGGAGCTCTGTACTTTCTGCTCAAGTTTCTGATTGCCTAAAACTAATATAAAATGAACGTTTATCAATGCTAAGTGAAAACCTACAACGTCTCTCTCTTTTTTAGTCAGTCGTGGGGCTTAAACTCTGAGCCTGGGCACTGTCCCTCAGCTCTTCAGCTCAAGGCGAGCACTCTACCACTTGAGCCACAGCGCCACTTCCCCTACAAAGTCTCTTTAATTGAAACACTTTAGTAAATAATAGACTAATGGAACAGAAGAGCAAATCCAGAAACAGATCCAAGTATATACATCAGGTTAGAATATGATAAAGGGGTATGTCTCAAATCATTGGAAAAGAACATTTAGATGAAAACATGATGAGATGACTGCATAACCATTTGGAAAAAAAATGGATCAGTGATTCACACTATAGAACACATAAGACAGTCTCTAAGTAGATCAGACAACTCAATGCAAAAACAATAAACCCATACAGGAATTATTAGAAAACACAGATGAATATCTCTGTGACCGAGTTGTGGGGAAGTAGTTTTCAACTGGGGGGAAATTTTGACCCCAGGAGACATTCAACAATGTCTGGATGCATTCCCCTGTTTGCCACAACTGAAGAAATTCTACTGGTACCAAGCATGTAGATGTCAGAGGAGCAGCTAAGCATTTCACAAGACTTCCCACAATAATTCAAGGTTATTAGGGTCAAGGAACCACCATAATAGAGGACACTCTCCTCCTAATCCTTTGCATTAAAAAAATCAGAATTGTATAGTATAAAGAAAATACAAAGAATTGTCTCATCAATTCTTCTGTAGCTGCCCACAAATCCATTCCTGTTTGCTCCAACAAACTATCTAATACTGATATTTTTGTGTGTGAGGATGGGGTCATAAAGCCAAACAATGCCTACCTTTATCTTAAATTTTTCTAAACTGCTTTTCTGAATGTCCTTCTTATGTGTGTGTGTGTGTGTGTGTGTGTGTGTGAGAGAGAGAGAGAGAGAGAGAGAGAGAGAGAGAGAGAGAGAAAGAGAATTTTTGTCAGTGTATCTCTCCAACTTCGTGGGGGCAAAGGTAGTTGATAATAGTAACCCTACTTTATATTTAATGCGTATTCAGTGTGGAGAACGGTTCCCGGTGCTCTACGTTCAATAGCACACTCAATATCAGCACAAAACCTAGGAGCAAGGTTCTATTTTAGCCCCACTGAACTGATGGCAATGAAGCAAAGCAGTAAGTAAGCCAGTCCAATCATGTTGCCAATAAATGGTGAAGCTGATGAAGGATTGGCAGCTTCATATACTTTCTCTATTATGGCGTTCATGAAAAGAAATGTCAGATTGTGTTAGATATAATGTCACAAAAGTAATTTAAGATTTGTGGTTTACGTCTCACTATTGTAAACATATTTTTGAATCAATCTACTTTTGATTACATATCCATATCTACTCTTTCTCTGGATTCATTCCAATATCTCATGGGTATTTTAGCTTGTAATTACTACTGTAATCACTTTTACAAAACCAACTTGCCATATGTACTTTGAAATTCTCAGTGGCTTCTTGTTAATTTATATTTATGCTCACTGCATATGGTAAGTTTGTATATTGTGTAGAAAAGTTCTGACATGATTAATGACTATTATGGATGCAGCAAGTGATAGGAATCTGCTTTGTTCTCCTAACTCCATGCTGCACCCATGGCCCACTGACCCATGGGACCTTCCTGATTCTCAGGAAAACTTCACCCCTGACTATTTTACTACCACAGATCCTAACAGGACAGCTCAGACAATAAATCCTCAACAGGATTGGACAAAGACTTTGCAAAGAAGAGTCTGACCTCTTTCCTGGTCTCCTCTTCCAGCCCAGTTGTTTTACATATCCAAAGATGTTCTATGAAGGACTTGCCTCTCCCTTCTTGGCCTAATCATTTTATGTATCCAAAGATGGAATATTAAGGATTGACTCCCACCCTATTATCCCAGGTGCATACAGACGCCAGGCAAAACCTCAGGTATGCGCAGACATGCTTGATGTGCAGGCAGGGCAATCCACCCAAGCCTGGCTGTAAACATTCCATTGTGGGCCTAACTGAAAATCCTTTCGCTTTCCTAGACTTTTTCCATTAACTTCTGCCTCCTTGCTCAAAGCTCATATAAGCCCGACCCCAAATCTACCCTGTGACACAACCTCCTAGACCATGGGAAAGTTGCTGCCCCTAGCTGTTATGTCTCAATAAACAGGCCTAGCCTATTGAGAATACAGTCCAGCCTATTCTGTTTTCCTTTCAACTCCTCCATTTTTCTAACAGCAAACTCTTTTTAAAGGTCTCAAGTTGCCATTTATTTGAGCACTGTCCTTGTCAAAGCTCTATGAAGAAAAAAATTTGGTCAGGTGCCAGTGGATCATGTCTAAAACTCCTAGCTACTCAGGAGGCTGAGATCTGAGGATTGTGGTTCAAAGGCAGCCCAGGCAGAAAAGTCTGTAAGACTCTTATCTCCAATAAATTATTCAGAAAAAGCTGGAAGTAGAGGTGTGGCTTAAGTGGTAGAGTGCTAGCCTTTGAGTACAAAGAAGCTCAGGGACAGCGCCCAGGCAACTGAGTTCAAGCTCCAGGTCTGGCAAATAAAAAAGAAAGAAAATAAAAAGAAAAATTCTTTCTTGTTCACATTAACTTCAATTAGTAACTTTCAGAGAGGTATAATGCATTCATAACAGTGCAAGTTTGGTCAAGCTCAAACCCAAGAAATACTTGTTTATTTACCTGTGTATTGATGTAGTACTTTGGTTAACTCCTGGAAGTGATAGCCCTTAGGACTGAATTTGAAAATTATGTCATAATGATGCCAGAAATTGTATGATCGATAAAATATAATTTTCCCAAGTTCCAATGTCACTTTTACATAAGAATCATGGGTGCTAGAAGATAAGAGTTGAATCAATGTGTTAATACCTAACTTAGATCATGATGAACAAATATCCTTTTTTGCTCTCCTGTCACTGACCTGTTTATCTGGCAGTTGGTCTCCTGGCTGAAAGCACATTTCATGATTATGTCCAGGGCCATCAGGTTGATATGTTCAAAAACCTCCACAGTTGTGTCATGAATGCTGCAAATCTTCTCCCACTTATCCTAGTACAGGAGATCAAGATCAGCATCAATGCCTCACCAGTCTGCCTTTGTTTGCAGGCTCTTGTTTAACTTTGCCCTAATGGTCTAAAGGACACAGCCCTGACACACAGGAACCAAAGGTCAGAGAGTAAACAAGCCAGCCACTGTGCTTACTCTGGGCATGAAGGAGGGAAAATGTACACTCAACTGAAAGAGAAAACCATGCAACAAACTGCACATCTGGAAAATGATCAATGATGACACAATTCTGCTTCCAAACAGACCAGAGGTCCATAGGACAATGGATCACCACCCCACCCCAAAGGCTTTGTTTTCTTTCAGTCCTTAACATGCTAGGTACTCCCTCCCTACTCTCAGCCACCATAAGCACATTTAAAAAAGATCTGAACATTTTCAAAAGACATCTTAGACTCAGAAATTGGGGACAGAGAGAAGGTAGGAGTGGTTGCATGGAGCTGGTTCCCGGCCAAGCACAAACTGCCCAACCAGATTCCACACAGACTTCCATGGTGCTGGAGCTGCTTTGCTTGACTTTTCTTTTCTTTTCTTTCTTTTTTTTTTTTTTTTGGGTCCGGTCGTGAGGCCTGAACTCTGGGCCTGGGCACTGTCCCTTAGCTCTTCAGCTCAAGGCTAGCGCTCTACCACTTGAGCCACAGCACCACTTCCGGCTTTTTTCTTTTTGCTTATGTGGTGCTGAGGAATCAGACCCAGGGCTTCATGCATGCAAGGCAAGCGCTCTGCCACTGAGCCACCTTCCCAGCCCTTGACTTTTCTTAATTCCACCAAACCCCCTTTATAAATGACAGTATTCTTATGTAAAAATCTTTTGAGTAAAACACTGAAATTCTTAAATTCAGTTCAAATTCATAGACTGATAAAAACTTGGGAGACTGAATAAAAGGTGAAGGGTATTTTTAAAATGTTGCTTAGCCAAGTGCCAATGGCTCATGGCAGGAAAGTCCATAGACTCTGATCTCCATTTAACCACCAAAAAGCTGGAAGTGAGTTGTGGCTCAAGTGGTAGAGTATCAATCTTGAGTGACAAAAACAAGGGATTGTGCCCTGGCTCATAGTTCAAGTCCCAGTACAGCATACACACAACAAAACAAAATAAAAAGTTTACCTAAATGTTGACTTTTTAGTCAGAAGGCTTCCATTCGAAAAGCTTAATATATATGCAGTATTGAACTAAAGGTTTGAATTCTAAGTAGAATTCACTTGCTAAGCAAGTGCTCTACTGCTTAGCCAGCCCCTTTTTATTTTATTTTTCAGAGAGGGTTTCCAGCTCTTACCCAGGCCAGCCTCAGACCACAAGAGCCTTCTACCTCTACTTTCCAAGTAGCTGGGGTTATAGATAGGTACCACCACACTTGGATCTAACATATTTTTGATTAACATGTGATAGTTATATATATTAATGAGGTTCAGTGTGATATTTCTGTTCATAAACACAGCATGCTCTGATGGGTACAAGTAGTGAGTTTGGGAAAAATCAAAGGGAAGACATATGGGAGGAACTCAGGGAATTATGAGACAAGGAAGGCAGAAATGGCTCCTATAAATTGGAGGCAAAACGCAAACACAACCACTGGCAGATATGAAATTGCGCCAAACACTTAGCAATACCAGAATCAGAAGATGATACAGACACACCCCTTTCCCTCTGGCCTGCACCTGGAGCTCTCTAGTTTCTGCCTGAAGCATTTACATCCATGTTTTCACCACAAAACCAATAGGGATTAGATCTGCTCTTGTGAGCTTGGTTTTTAGGACCTAGCTGATGAACTGGTAACAGTAGTTCTTTGGGGGAACAGAGATAGATTTGCCAATGAGAGTGGAGGAAATTTGACTTTGTGGAATTTGAAGTTTATGAAGAAACTATACTGTCTGGTATTATTATTATTATTATTGGCTAAGGGGCTTGAACTCAGAACCTGGGTTCTTCTTCTGAGCTCTTTTTGCTTGAGGCTAGCGCTGTACCTCTTTGAGCCACAATTCCACTTCTGATTTTTGTGGTTAATTGGAGATAAGAGTCTCAAGGGGACTTTTCTGTCCAAGCTGGTTTCTAACTGTGATCCTCATATCTCAGTCTCCTGTTACATAAAAATCTTTTATGTAAAAAATTGACATTCTTAAATTGAGTTCAAACTAATATTTATTGAATGCTAGGATTACAGGTGTGAGCCACCAGTACCCAACAACCATTTGGTTTTAAAAGGAATACAATTTAAAGATAAAAAACCAATAGCAAAATAAAGCTTTGGAATAAAACTCATTTCTAAATCAGAAGCCAGCCACCAGAATGCTCCTATGCACTGTCCTCTTGATCCTTTAGAAGGTACAGGACACTTCCTCAAAAGCCTGCACCTGTTACAAGAGGAAACTCAAATCTGTGACTCTACTAGAAACATTTATCCTTTGCTCAGTCCTTCCTGGCCATCAGAAAAGGCCATTTACTCTGCTTAGAATTCTCTCATCCATATTAGCTATGTAGGTAATTTCAGCTTATAGTTCAAGATAAATTTGAGTCTTAGCTAGGTGCCTGTGGCTTATGCCTGAAATCTTAGCTACTCAGGAGGCTGAAATATGAGGATCACAGTTCAAAGCCAGCCTGGGCTGAAAAGTTCCCATGAGGCTCTTACCTCCAATTAACTACCAGAAAACTGGAAGTAGAATTGTGGCTCAAAGTAGTAGTGCACTAGCCTTGAGAAAAAGAGCTCAGGGATAGCTCCTAGGCCTGGAGTTCAATCCCTATGACCACCACCAACAAAAATGTTGTCTTGTCTGAAGACTGAAGTTCCAACAGATGCTTTTGGCTTTTTATCGATCACATCATTTACTCTCTGAATCTTGCCACTTTGTACTCGGCTTACTGCCAGAGACTCTCAGAAATATCTTAGACATAGGGTCAGATTTATTTTCTCTCCCTCCCTCCTTCCCACCATTCCTTCCTTCCTTCCTTCCTTCCTTTCCTGCCTCTCGGCCTAGATGCTACACCTAGTTATTTTTTGCTCAAGGCTAGCACTTTACTATTTGAGTCACAGCTCCACTTCTGGCTTTTTGGTGGTTAGATGCAGATAAGAGTCTCATGCACTTTCTTTCCTGGAATGGTTTCAAACTGACATTCTCAGATCTCAGCCTCCTGAGTAGCTAGGATTAGAGGTATGAGCCACTGATTCTTAGCCTTTTGTGTTTTCTTTTTCTTTTTTAAAAAAATCACCCAAACAGCACAGCAAATGCTTACGAAGATACTTACTACTCAATGCATATTTGTACGTGATTAATTTTTAGAAATTCTGATTTTCACTATTCACGAAATGAATGCCTATACAGGGTTGGTTGGAAGCATTTGCAGTGGCCCAGCACTCCATGTGCTCACCGCACTTACCAGCATTGTGTTCACAGAATGGGCCATTGCATCCACATATGTTTTTAGGGTATCACAATGGAATCCAGGAGTCAGTAAGCGACGGTGCTGGAACCACTTGGGCCCATCTAGATTCAGGAGTCCCTTTCCTTGAGAAATAAAAGGAACACAATCTCAAGGCATTTGATTATGTGAGAAGGAGAGGTTGAGATGAGGCACACAGACAGCAAAGAGTGACTTGAAGCACAGTCATCGTGAAATAGTGAAATGTTAAAGTGGTGCTTGCTGATTAAGATGGTGAGAGTCTTGACTGATGCCTGCATCTGGAATGATATATTTAACACTGTGAGAAAGTTTCAAAGTCTGATGCATTTGGAAGTCTGATGAGATGAAAATGCCAATTCTAAAAATCACAAATTATAACCTACAAGTCATTAGGAAGTAACAACTTTCCTGACACTTAGTTTTTTCTGCAATCGAGTGTGACATTACCATGTTATGAGGATAAATGAAAGTGCATAGACCCTCCTTAGTTCATGAAAAAACTATACTCATTTCCTGTTCACTGAAAGCCAATACATAAGCCAAACTGTGAAAATGAATTTATCGAGAGCTAGACAAGGATGTCCATTTGGTTCCCCGATTTCATCTTCGTGAGCTCTAGTTTGTTAATGGCACAATTTGGAAATGTTAGGCAAGGTTAGTATCTTAATTGCCTATTGCCAGAATGATTATTAAGGATTTGGCTTTCAAAGAACTTTATGATTGACACACTCATTGAATGTTTACAATATACCAGACTCATGGTGCATGGCTTTGTGCTATTACAATACCAGCCATAACAGCATGTGCTAGAAATATGTGTTTCACTTATATCAAGCAGCTAGAACAGTGACACTTATCCTCATTTTCAAAGCTGAGGAAATTGAGGCATGGAGAGATTAAATTGCTTCCCTTAAAATTACATTTGATCAGTCTGTTGGGATGAGGGGAGGATTCACATCTGTTGGAAATGGAGCCAGGAGCTTATAGTCTTTCATTAAATTATCTCCTGGTCAAACATAAATACCAATTACTTGACAAAAACCTTGCTTCATCTATTCACAAAATGTATTTTAGAGAAAGTTTCACTGATTGACATACAGAAATGGGAAGACTCCAAAAAGAAAGAACAAGAAAAAGAACTTCAGGAAACAAGAAAGACAAAAGAGTAAAATCAATTTGAAAAAAAGAGGAGAGGATCTCACATATGCTGCCTTGAAAATGGAACTGTGAAGAGACCAACAGATCAGGAGTCATTCCAGGATGCTTTGCTATTTTGACCTTTGAGCTCCCTTTGATCTTCTCCTAGATGATGTTCATTATAGATCTACCTTACTCTTCATTCTTTTGAGCTCAGATCTGATTATTTTCAACAGAAAGGGGACTTGGGACAAGGGTAGATTACCTGTCTCATTGGCACATACCAAGACATGGTGTCATGAACTTGTGCAGGTACTGAGATTTAGGGTCTGCAGATTCAAACAGAAGAAACAGAAGGCAGTATTAGAAGAAACACTCTTTACCAGTTCAAGACAGGGAAGGTTTTTTCATTTGCTTGCATTTAGCCTGAACATTAAGCAAAAGGGAGCTAACATTTAGAAGCAGGGGGAAACTGTAAGTCTTGATTAAATTTCAGACAATAGCAAGTCCCAGGAGGCAGAGAGGACCCATATTCAGATTCTCTTTTGGTTTCTCCCTCTACCAAGAGGATCAGATTGCTGGAGGACTGCCAAGTTTCCAGAGCAGGAGTGCCTTGTGCAAGTGTCTTACAACTCTTGAGGTGAACTTGAGACATATCAGGAGGACTGAAAAACATGGAGATAAAGGCTAGTTCTTCTTACCAGGGTTTGTTTGTTTTTGCGCCGGTCCTGGGGCTTGAGCTCAGGACCTGGGTGCTATTCTTGAGCTTCTTTTGATCAAGGCTAGCACTCTACCATTTGAGCTCCAGATCTGGATTTTTGGAAGTTTATTGGAGATAAGAGTTTCATAGGCTTTCCTTCCTGAGCTGGCTTTAAGCCTCAAGCCTCAGATATCAGCCTCCTTAGTAGCTAAGATTACAGGCATGAGCTACTGGTGCCTGGCTCATACTAGGGTTTATTAAGGATATACAGAAGGGAAGATTAGAATATGAGATCTTAGCTAGGCATTGATGCCTCACACCTGTAATCCTAGCTACGCAGGGGGCTGATATCTGGGGATCACCGTTCAAAGCCAGCCTGGGCAGGAAAGTCTGTGAGACTCTTATCTCCAATAAACCACTCAGAGAACCAGAAGTGGCACTGTGGTTCAAGTGGTTGAGTGCTAGCCTTGAGCTGAAGAGTTGAAGGACAGTGCCCAGGCCTAGAGTTCAAGCCCCATGACCGACAAAAAAAAAAAAGAATATGAAACTTTGATGAATAAAAGCTGGCCATTTTAGCTTTGTGCTATAAACTAGGCCATGATAGATGCTCTGAAATTGGATTGGATGACTCATGCCTCCCAAAAGAACAGAAAGGGAAACCAGCGTGGATCATAATCAAGAGGTTGGACTGGTAAACGAACACTCTGGCAGCCAATGTTTCATACTGAGCCAGCAGAGGGAGAGTCTTCTGATTTCCTCTGAACACAGAGTGGGGCTGGAAAACCCCTGGCCAGGCTGGGCTATGAAGAGCCCTAAGGCTAGGGAGAGACAAGGGTTTAGGGAGCATATGAAAATTTCCTTCACCTGGCTAGGATACCTGACCCATCTCTGTATTTACTCCAGGGTTTCTTAAAGACATAATACCAATTTTTGCTTCAGATCCTGCCTGTGGGTCATGTGCATCTCCTCAAAGGATTAGGTTCCTGAGATTTGCTCTTTTTCTTACCTGTTCTGTTCAGAAGTGTCTTTGCATAGTCTGGGTCATAGATAAAGAAAAAGGCCTGGAAGGGCCCAATCCAGCAAGGGAAAGCACAAGGGTATTTTTCAACAATCTCATCAAGTTTCTCCATTGTATCTTCCTGAAGAAACTGCAATGTCAAAAAAATAATAGAAATTAGAAAACTAGCAACACCATTCTTAGGTATCTATCTGAAGAAATGGAAGCCAGGAAACAATAGACACTTGTACACCCACATATACAGAAATGGTACTTGTAATATTGCTACAAGAGGGTAAGTATGGTTCCTATCAGTATACTAGGTATGAGTTCATAGTGCTAGGGATTTAACACTACTCACAGTGGTGGGTAACTGACAGGAATTGGTATAAAGTGATTCCAGGTTCCTTTCTTTTTTTGCAGGATAACTCCAAAGTGCACAGAGTTCTCCAGTGGGAGTAAGATTCAGTTACCTACAGCAGTAACCTGCTTGACAATGACTTGATGTGGTAGCCTTCCCATCGTCTCACCTGCCAAATCTGCCAAAATTACTCTTGCAAAAATAAATTGCTTGCTCTCAATCACTGTCTCATACCTAGTTCTGAAGAACTAAAACAAAGGTTAAATATAAAATGTTAAGAGAACTGCCAGGTGCTGGTGGTTCACCTTTAATTCTAACTACTTAAGAGGCAGAGATCTGAGAGTCACAGTTCAAAGCCATCCCCTGAAGACAAATGGGAGAGAACGTTATCTCCATCCAAATAACCAGCCCTAAGGTGGAAATGGAGTGTGCCTCAAGTGATTGACTGCCAGCCTTGAGCAAAAAGGCCAAGCAAGATCACAAGATTCTGCACAGGCACACAGGTGCTCTCTCTTACACACACACACACACACACACACACACACACACACACACACACACACACACACACCAAAAAAAAAACACTGTATGTGGAAGGCATTTTGCAATGTGGGATATGCAGAGATATGGGTGAGACACTGGAGAAAGGCTGTCTCCAATTGGAGTTATACACCTGGCTTTCTTTTTCAAGGTCCAGGCTCTCTAGATCCATCCCAGCATCGCACTGCTTCCTCTCCGTGCCCTTTTCCTGCAGGGCTGCGGGAGAGTCTGTAGAGAAAGAGGCTGAGCTGTCAGTGCAGGGCCCAGGTCCCCAGGAAGGGAAGGAAGCAGCCGCCTTGGCCCCTCCCTTCCATCTACCTTCTGGTGGCCATGGAACCAGTGGGTGGGCGGCGCGGGGAAGGGGCGCAGGTCCCAGAGCAGCCGCTGTCTCCTCAGGTAGAGCTTGATGGCCTGTAGCAGCGCCAGAGCCAGGCAGAACACCAAAGCCAGGTGCAAGGGCCGCGCCCAGCGCGTCTCCAGCCAGGAGGCCTCCATCGCTCTGCGGGGCGTTCTGCGCTCTGTGCACCAGAACGCCCGCCAGCAGCCCAAGGTGGGGGGTTGGGGGAAGGCGTGTACTGGGCGCGTGCGCTCTCTCTAGACCCCAGGAGAAGAGAGGAGAGGTTCTGGCTCTGCCCTCCCCTCCTCTGAGCCAGAGGAATCCCGGGAAGGAGGAAGGGCGATGGGAGGGGCAGCTCAGTGCAGGAGAGGGAAGCAGGCATGCTCTGGCTCCTGCATCTCTAATCCTTCATCCAAAGGACTCATTGATTCTCGCTTCAGGCTGATTTCTTAGAGCTGCTGGGTGTCAGACTCTCAATGGCAGAAGATTTGAATTTAGATTTTGAAATACCGTTCAAGCTGAGATAATTTTTTGTCTTCTTTGTAACAAATAAATGAGCTTCTTTTACCTACATCCTCCCTGGGATATTTCAAGCTCTTTGTATGAGGACAATGAACACTAACTTGGGAAGACAGGCACAGCATCACACCAAATGTAGTTTTGTTATGTCCAGATAAGGATCCCCAAAGCTCGAGCCTGGACTCACCACGGTCACCAACGCAGCGGGTCAGAGTTGAGAGCCCCGACTTCCAGTTTAGCAGGGTTACAGCAAGGGTAGGGGGTTACATGATTGGTTAACCTTTAGTGAGTGAATCTTGTAACAATCTTATTGGCTAGCATGCAGGCTTAAGCAGTAAACTATGTTAACTATGCAATCTTAAGAAACCTCTGCAACTGTAGGTACCTTCCTGTCATCTGCTGATGGCTATTGCTAGGGGAGTTATGGGCAGAATGTTATTGGGACATTTCATGGTTTTTCCAGGAACCTGAGTTCTTACTTTCTTTACAAGTCTTTACCATGGACACTTTTGGTAAAGGCCCTCACAATGGATATTTCAGTAAAGGCCTTCAGAATGGATACTAAGTCCAGAATGGCTGTACTTTGGCTAAGGCCTCTCATTCCCTCCCCTTCCCTTCCCTTCTCTAGTAACTAAGGGAGCCAATCATGGATCCCATATTTTCTATGGGTTGATATTGAGCCCTTAGTACCATCAACTGAACTGTATTGACTCGCTCTTTTATGAATGGGACCAATCTGTTGACTATGCAAGGTCCAATTGTGAGTCAGAGAATTAACAGTACCAAAGGCCCTATTAGGGGAATAATCCATTGAGCCCAAGGGTTATATAGCCATCTGAAGTCCAGGTTGTTAGCTGGGCGCTTATGGAGTCCCTTACACAGTTTTTCTAAGGCCTTTACATTTTCTTCCACCAGTCCTGACTCTGATCACAGCTAACTTAATTTTATACCAGCTGTACTCATGAGCTCCAATTTTAAGACATACTCATACCATTTGCTACATAAACTTTCTGGGGTTTGTCTTCTTCCCTTTTTCACTCTGATACGAACATTTTAAGACAATCCTTACTTTTCAAATCCTTTCTTATCCCGAAGACCATTTTGCCCCCAATTCCTTTCCCAAGGCTTTCCTTACTACTCTCTTCTTTCCCTAAGTTTCTTTGCCACTTGAATTTAAAACTGCCCCATTTTTTCCCCTTTGGCTTGTGGAGCCAAGTTATCTCAGAACAGCCTCAAGGCACCACTGGGGTGGAGAAGCTTGCTAGATTTTAAGGCTAAGAGCAGGGCTGGGTCTCATTTCTCTACCTCCATTGATAAAAATCTCTGAATACAAGGTAGAAGGAGATGTAAGGGGTATGGTATTCTAGGCTCACACAGGGGCTAGTCTGGTGGGGTTACTATTCTAACACACACCCAGGAGGAAGCAGGTTATTACCATACCAGAGTCAAACTAGGCTGTGACTACAGAGTGGATTTCCAGTCCCTATGCCCTGAAGTGCCTAAGGCCAGTGATGTCCTTGCCCCAATATCCACTGTGGGAGTAGAGAAGATTACTGAATATCATCAAAAGAATGTCCCAGAAAGTCTTAGATTTGGCAGACTCAAAGCAGTTTTCCACTGGGAAACAGTCTCAGGGGATGGAATCAGGCAAGAGTTCAGGCTACTTTTTCCACGGTGGAGGTGGTCCAGGTGACAATGTAGATTTCCTCCAGGTGACTGTAAGGCTGTCATTGAACTTTATCCATTAAGGTGTGCAGCAGTAGCAGTAGCAGCAGCAGGATCTCTCAGTGGCTCCAAGGGACTGTCACACCTTGTGCTGGGTTGCACATTCCTACACAGACTGGTTAAGGATACATTGCATAGGCTTGGCAGGCTGTGGCCCCCTGGTTTTTAAGACTGTTTAGACAATAGCACAGGACAATTTACCAAGACAACAACTTTTTACTAGCCAGATATTTTTTTATTGTGAAAATACTGTACAGAGGGGTTTCAATTACATGGACAAGATAATGAGTACGTTTCTTATCAAGCATTGTAGGCTCCTCCTTTGTTTCCCCTTCCCATCCCCCCAAACCCTCCCCCCCCACGCACCAAAGTTGTAAAGTTCGTTTTCGACATAACAACTTGTACATCTCATTGTTGCAATGGGTCCACCTGTATCCCTATTTAAACAATTTTTTTTTCCCCTTCCACTCCACAAATTATACCGACATCAAATACAGTGAAAGCAGGGGTTATACTGTGGGGGAGAGACATACAAAGCAACAAAGAAATAATCTTATAAATGTGTTAGAAACAAACACATGAAAGAAAAAAAACATTTGAATACATATCTTAGGGTTCATTTCCCTAACATCAACTTATCTGACCTTTTCTGCTTGACTCAGACATATACTAGATATTGCAAATAAGGGAAACCATGTTTCTTTGGGCCTGCCTTACTTCACTTAATATAATTTTTTCCAAGCCTTTCCATTTCCTAACAAATGGGGAAATGTCATTCTTTCTGATGAATAGCCAGATATTTTTGTAACCATCTCTGACAGATGCAGTCCACTCTTGCACACCTGTTAACACTATTCTATTTTGCCTCATTTTTCCAAAACTGACTCTGGACTCTTGATCTTAAAAGGGGGTTGATGGGTGGAGGTCCATCCTCTGTAACTTCTTCAAGCTGACTTCAGGAACCTATAACCTTAGCCTATTTTACAAAGAGGCCATCAGGGTTAGATGTCATTAAGAACAATATTTTAACTTTTGACAAATGCACAGACCTTTTCTCCAGCTACAGCAGTGTAGCTTGTTTAGCACTCTGGTTTGCAAAAGCATCTTTCTGGATGGCTTAGGAATGTGATCTCTAGTGACCCTAACAATGCCTAAGTTACCTGTGCAGGCCTTCAGGCAGATATCAATAGGGACACACTCTCAGGTTTACAAACTTTTTTCCTGAACAGATGAATTTTATATAGCTGGTGTCAGCTCAAAAGTTACTGCTGGGCTGGGAAGGTGGCTCAGTGGTAGAATGCTTGCCTTGCATGCTTGAGGCCCTGGGTTCGATTCCTCAGCACCACATAAGCAGAAAAAATAAAAGCCGGAAGTGGCGCTGTGGCTCAAATGGTAGAGTGCTAGCCTTGAGCTGAAGAGCTGAAGGACAGTGCCCAGGCCCAGAGTTCAGGCCCTCCCCCACAAAAAAAGTTACTGCCAATTAGGGCTTTTAGCACATACAGAGGTTGGGACTTAACTATCCCCCACATTTTATAACTTTAGCTTTTTACTACTATCACAGATGGCTGGCAAGTTCCTGTCCCTTTTAGGTATGCTTACAAACTATCTTCCCATGACCTCCTGGCTCTGACCAACTTTTGAAGGGCCACACACAAATGACTCTAGGATCTGACATTATTTCTGCCATCCACACAGTGGCTTACTGCCTCTGGATGCTCCACCATTGCTTTCGTCCCAGGAGTGTCTTCTCCACACTGTGATAAATGCCTCATTGGCATTTCCCGTAGATGGTCATTCAAGTTGAACTCAGGGCCTGAGTGCTGTCCCTCAGCTCTCCAGCTCAAAGCTAGCATTCTGCCACTTTGAGTCCCAAAGCAACTCTGCTTGCTCTTTCAGCTGGCTCTAATCAGCTGGCTGATTAGAGGTGACAGTCTCACAGGGATCTTTCTCTGCCCAGGCTGGCTTTGAACCAGTTTGCAGATCAATGAATCTTATAAAAGGCCACTTTAGTCCACTTAGAAGCAATAAGGTGGTCAACATAGAAGTAGCTTCTAAGCATGCTCTTACCTGGGACTTAAGAGCCAAAGTTACACTTGATGAACTTGCTAGAATCCTCACCCCTTTTTGTGGGCCTGCTGGGAACTGTTATAAAAAACCTATAAGAGCAAACTAAAATAGCAATTAAGTAATTATTTTGGTAATCTTAATTTTTCCTTTTTGCACTTTGAGGCAAAATGTTAAGAACAATTTTACTTTTAAACTTTATATCCAGAAATCCATATCTAATTTTTAAGCCTCTTATTAATCTGTTTTAATATTTTATACTTTAGTTTTCATTTGCATTTTGAAAAATCCCTTGAAATCTTGAGGCTAGGTGTTGCTCATTGCCTCTTGGCTGCTTGTTTTAAAACAGATACACATTAAAAACTTATGAACTCAAATGACAATTTTTCCTTAATGCAAAAATCACAGTCACCACCACTGTACCAAGAAGCTAGACTTAACACCTTTATGACTTTTAAAAACATATCCCAATTGTAGAACATCATTGAAAGCAAGTCACATTATACAAATAAACTTTTTAACCCTCTTTTTAAGGCCTTTTTAATTTTAACACATTCAAGGGGCAGTTTTAGCAATACCAATCAGATAATCACATCACTCATTTTTACCATCATATTTCCAGTGTCTATCTGCAAGGAAAAGGGCAGGAAAAAGATGGACCACTTGGCCCCTCCTATGGAGTGGGCACACACCCAATCCAACTCTTTAGGGTTAGATGAACTGCAGTTGTGCCAGTTTGCCCTCTTCCACCATACATGGTCCTGTCCTTCCATGCATGACGGCTGAGATGCTCTTTTGCCTGTTCACCCCTCACCCATAAAGATAGGTCTTCTGTTGGCTTCTAAATTTT